TGGACTCCTAACAGCAGTAAAGTTCAGCACAGACTGTATATATTTGTGATGTTGTAATATATTCATATTCATGCCCATGACACCTGTGATCGTTAGTTTTAAATATTTACTTCTGTGCCTTCTTTTCTTATTTATGCATCTTAAAGGTGGGGTAGGTAAGTTTGAGAAACCGGCTCGAGATACACTTTTTGTTATATTCCATGGAATGCTCTTAACATCCCGATAGCAATGAATATCTTAAGTGCTTTGACAAAAAATCCATAAAAAAATGTCATCTGTGGAAGCCATAGTACTGTAAAAAGTACGACCAATCATTTTAGCCGGCCCGGCTAAAATAACTGGATGGCCTACCTGCCTGTCAGCTTTCCATCTGTGCACAAACTTATCTCGTGCCCTCATTGGTCATGTGCGCGTTCGTGTGTGTTGGAGGAGGGGCTCTATAAGGAAGTGCAGATTTGTTCCGGCTGTGTATTTTCAAATTGTAGCGCACTCGAGCTGGTTTCTCCAAAATTACCTACCCCACCTTTAATGTGTGTATAACAGTTGTAAATATGCAGTGGTGTTTATTTGTATTTTGGTATCATTTAGTATAATCACACAAATTCTGTGTTCTTCATTTATTGAATGTTCAATACCTGACAAGGTCGGAGATCAGTGGGCGGAACCTCTGAAGTGTGGTCGCTGTGCTCAGAGGATTATTTTTATGGTGATTCCCCCCTTCATATTGTGTCCCTCACGTTTCATCGTCCCTTTCGGTAAATGTTCCACGTGAGAGGAGTCATTGTGAGGGAAACTGAATATAAGACTGATTTGTTATATCTGTTATCAGTGATTAAACGGAGATCGTCTAAACTGTATGCTGGCTCGGGTCTCGTCCATGAACAACTCAAAACACAACGCAGAGACCGCTTAACGACACCGGTTACATGTGCATTTGTATATATGTGTCTTTGTATGAGTATACATTTATATATATATATATATATATATATATATGTGGGTGTTCAGGTGTGTATGTATACATATATGTATATATTTAACATAATTTCGATCTCCCTGTCTGTATCACACACACAGAAGATTGACAATAAAGTGCCTCTGCACATACAGTGTAGTCTACCTCATGTGTCAGTCCTGTCTGTGCCAGGGTAATAACCTGCGCTGTGGATGAAAAATGGTTGGCTATACGTGATTGTTTTTTTACGATTAACTAGAGTATAGATACTTGATACAAGACACCAGATGAATAAGATACAAATTAAAGTAAACCATGAGTAAATGATGCTTTATCTGGTGCTGTCTCTTTGTTCCCTGTATACAAACAGCAGGTTCAGTAAAATAAAAAGCCAGCATCCAGCACTAGGGTCTTGGTCCATTTGTAAAGCTTTAATGAACAGACAGTTACGCAAGTGTCACAGTTAACACACCAAGGAGCAGAGGGGAGGAAATGCCAATAAAATGTGTCACTCACTAGTCTAATACTCCATATAGGTAGAATAAATTATACCATGATAACATACAAACATGCCAAACGGAAAGCAGAACAAAACAAGCAGAAAGAGGACCAAGAGGTAAACAGGAGAGGGGGGTGAAGCATTACTGTATATTTGATCCTTTATGTTTTCCTTGGTTTGCTGTCAGTAAAAAATATATATGTACACAAGGTAGAAGGTTAACACAGCCAGTGTCTGGAGGATTGGAATGTTGGAGGAGACAGTGTTCAATCGTTTTTATCCATATTCTTACACATAATACATTTTCATCATTTGACATATTAAACAGAAATTCTCAAATTCAAGCCGATATTGAAATACTGGCAGTTAAAACAATGTGTGGATGTATGATACTCTGCGTTTCTGAGATTGCTGTTAAAAAAGGGCGGGGTTGGCTCTTTGCTCGACGGTTTGCTGGACGCCTTTAACTTGAAATGTCTTCGCAGGATTGAAAAAGATTTAAGAGCGAAGAAGGCATTCAAACACATCAAAAGGGAGTTAGTTGTCATGGTATACGACATGAAAACATTAACAGAGAAAAAGATCCTCACAGCACCATTTCTCCAGGAAGTAGTACAACTCAACGTGTTTTCGTATCAATGAGCATGACCAGAATCTAAAGAAGTGAAAAGAGAAAGTACAGGAGAATCGTGTGTCTGCAGTGATTGTCACACTGAGGGTCCGCTCCTCAGTCTGGAGCTTGTTGGACCTCAGTCTCCTCAGAGCTCTGCAGGAGGTCAGAACACAGAAGGAGTCCATGGGTGTTTCTCAATGTCGAGTAAAGCTGCTTCAGAGCCACTATTTCAAGCATACTACGTCATCGAGTCCCGCCGAAGTACTGTTCCAATGTCCAGCATACTTGGAATTCTACCGAGCCCGGCGTACTTCGTAGCGAGAAATTTCGAGGCTGCACATGTGTAGACTCCGCGGTCTTAAAATCCCCACAATGCTTTGCGCACGGACCAATTTCCCCAAATCTGTGGCGGAAAATGTAAGGCGGGGCCTCTCATATGACGCACACCTGCACACTTGCTAGCCTGTTCCACTCTTTGTTTTCCGAATGCCAGGAAGTATTCTTGCCTCGCTTCTGAAGCAAGTGACTCGGGAGACATGTGCTACCAAGCAAGCGTACTCGACATTGAGAAACACCCCGTGTCTGCTGCTACAGAGGAGTGTATTGCCCTCACATACACACATCCTGAAGGCTGACACATGATTTTATTTTCAAGCTGCCAATATCTCCTGTTGATATTTAATATGTATGTATGTATATGTAAGTGGTTTTTACCAAAGATATACAAAGTATAAAGGGTAGACCTAGCGTTTTATTCTTCTGAAGGTAAAAAAAAAGGTATACACTCAGCCAGGATCTGTCTGTTTAGTTCTTCAAGACAACAGCTGAACCTGTTGTGTTTGCTGACCTCAAGTAGTTGAGAGTGGTCAGAAGTACAACACACTGGACTTTGAGGTAGAATTCATGATCCAATATCAAATCGCACGTGAATCTGTCGGACAACAAAACCAAAAACATGTCAATGAATGAAACCCAATATGAATCCTCATGGAGGTGACTTTGTACGCTAAGGTGTGTTCTGACCTGGGTGTCCGTTTTCATGATCATTACTGCGTTTTGTTTAATATAAATACATCTCTCCGGTCAAAGATTATTCCCTCTAAACACAATCGGAATTGTAATCAAATAGGCTAAACATTTATTTATTTCCGTTAATTTATAAAACGAATCCTCTTAAACACACAGGCTGTATAGGGCCTAAAGATTTCAGGTTAATTTGTTCATTATGAATCTGTGGGTGTAATCAGACTTTTGTCCTCTCAATAATACGAGGTCAGTCATGTGACAGTCAGGAGCCCCTCCATAACGCTGCCTGCTCATTGGCTGGCTTTAGGTTCTTGTAATAACCGTTCATATTGCGCTCATAAGACACTAAATACTATACTATTACTAATGATGCTAAAACTAACCTCATTTTGTATTATTAAGACTATACAATTAAGCATTATAAACACATTTATTTCAGATAAGCTTTTTATAATAAACGTGTTAACAGTTTATAGCCTCCTTAAGAATGTGAACAAATGCTTTCTAAGTTTCTTGGAATTGTTAAATATATAAAAGTACTACACAAATATGTATTGAGTTAAATAACTTATCATGTATATCCTAGTTTAAACCTTTTTTTGATTTATTACGATTGATAGATACTTTATTTTGCATTTATTAAATCACTATGCAATTGTAAAAAATGACCACACGTTCAGCAGGTATTGAATCTAAAGCCTAACTAAGGAAAATAAACATTTATAATGCGATTAACAGTTAACTATGCGTTTGAAAAAAGATGATCTTTTAGACTACAGCTATGCGAGAATCTCCCGGGCTGGATGGACCCCAGGAATGTGTAAACAACACTACATACTGTCGGGGTCATTAAAGAATGACATTTCATAATGTTTAAGTGGTTTCACAATATTACTTTCAAACAAACCTTTTTTTTTAACTTTTGATCATTTTCATGCACATGGCAATCACAGAGTCGGTATATCAAATAATTGTATTCTGTAAAAAAGCGTCAACTAAATAACACTTGATCACTTATTGATGAGATTGGTGGTGTTTTTATATCATGTTTAAAAACATCTTTTACAATGTCTTGATGTCTTTTACCTAAAGGTTTAATTTGTGTTTCTCAAAGGGTCTTTGGACACATTGATGTGTGAATGAGGGGTAGTAAAATAATAATATGTTAACACTATATAGTCCCATCAATACATAATAGCGTTATTATGCATCTTTAATATAAGGACTAAGAAGTGCCTTATTATCTATTAACTAACACTCATTACAAGAACCTCAAATCAAGTATTTCCACTGTGTTTGAACTCAATGAGCTCCATCATAATAAATTGGAATTTGCTTAGGAATTTTAAATCTTTATACAAACCTCCACAGACATTTGTCTTTAAGGACAATTTTTTAAAAAGGAAACCCTGGTTGAGGTTATATCAAAGGGAGTTTGTGACGGGAACAATTGTATTTAATGACCATCTAACGACACACTGGACACACAGCGTGAATTGAGACTAAAGCGGACTGTAACGCATCATTTTGTAGTTTGCTTACCAACAGAAGAGATGTGTTTATGTAAAATACATTGAAAACAGGTCAGAGGTCACACCCAGCCCAAAATGATTCAGGGTTCAGTGACAGTGCTTCTTATATCACTGGTTTATAGTTATTCAGTAAAGTGAGAATATACCAACGCTGTGTAAAATATTTACAGCACAATGAACAACATTAAAATAAGAGTGGTCCCATAAGGAATGTTTAAAGCTTGGACAGCTGCATCACTGAGTCCTCAAACCCTGGATGAAGAGTAAACAACTTAAATATCAGCCCAATACACTGCAGGCCGTCTGAGACAGATGTCATGGAGTTCTGTGTGGATGGTAGTGCTGGTGACGAGGTGTTGCATGCACAGCTGAGTGCTAGTAGGCCTGGCCGGTCTCCACCTGCAGCAGCCCCAGAACAGCTGAGTGGTCGGACAGCTTCACCCGGCGCTGAGCGGACAGACCCACGTTCTTCGCCAGGTAGTCCACAGCAGCTGCCCACAGACAGGAGACACACAGGGGACAGTCAACGAGGTATACAGCAGAACATCAAGAGACCGCTGCAATATGAGCAGTTTATCTGATTTAACTATTTATAGGCTTAGGCATCATTTATACTTGTCCCCACTACTTTTTGAAACGGCCAATTCTGGCCATTTGAATAAAATGTTCTGAAAATAGCATGCACAAAGAAGTGTACACTTTGAAAATAATATTATAATACAATCGAACATGTTCAATCTGGAGAACTGTTCTCACTCTGGGTGTATTTCTGGTAACCCAAGTGGTGCAGTAAAAATACCTTATGTTGTTTATTTCAATGTGTCATATTTATTTTCCTTTGATCTTCAATAATAATGTTGTCACAACTGATAAATGATAACCAACACATTATCAAGACAGCGGGGAAATTATTATTATATATATTATAGGAAATAGCAGCCTGCATTGAGCAGTCAGTATTCACAGGCCTGAGACTAGGCCTCAGGTTGTCCATTCTTAAGACTCCTCTTAACAAAGATGGACCCTACAGTTAGTACCTGGTGCAACCTGCTGCGGGTCATAGTCATTGCAGAATAACGCTTGTAGTATCAGAACCGGCCATAAATGATACATGACACCTGACATTGATGGGTTTCTTCTCTTCTTTAAATACAGTCAACTTCAATTCTGATTTAGCTTACTTTTTTTATATTGAACCAAATCCTTTATTTATTGCTCCCCATATCCAGCATGGTGCCAACTACACAGAGGCCACCTCCTCACTAGTTCTGTGCAGGACACAACCTCAGCTCTTCCTAGATGTTAGCCATACAGTATGTGTCCATGGAAATGAAGGAACATTTCACGCAGGACAACAGTGTCTCTCATTGATGAGTTTCAAATATTTTTGGACAACAATGGAGCTCTGCAGAACAGAGGAAGAAGACGTATCAGGATTTGGATACACACCTGTTAGTAAATATATTGAATATCACTAGACTTGAACATGCATTATTCTGCTGCAGAATTGTTTGTTTCATGTCTAATCACACTGACTAACAAGAGCTTTGCCAGACAGACAAAAGAGCTCCACAGACAGAGAGACAGGTACTCAGTGGAATATCTGCAGGTCTTGGAAAGCTGGCATTAATGCTGGAATAGGTTTCTGTCTGAGTGCTGAAGGTTGTCCCTCCCTGGTTCAGTTGATAACTTCTCTTTAGAGGGCAGGAGAGAGGAGGCTGACAGCAGATGTGATGTGACATGGTGTGTGCATGTGTGTGTGTTGGCTATCAAGGGGAGATAAGTAAGGCGTGTCAGTTAGGATGCCTGCATGCACAGAAAGGAAGCTGTCACTCAGTGCTGGGGTTTGAGAGAAAGAGGAGCACCTATGGGTGGGCAGGTCTGTCTGCCAAGATGCCAGTCACCCAGACAGCTAGTGGGGGAGCACTGTGTGTGTGTGTGTGTGTGTGTGTGTGTGTGTGTGTGTGTGTGTTTCACAAGGGTTTAGCGAGGCCCTCTAAAGGAAGCTGTTATTCCTGTCAACCAGCCTTATACCTTAAATCCCTGTTGAACAGTCACGGTGAGAGTCCTCTGCCTCCAAGATTGAGCCTATCTGATAACACACACACACACACACACACACACACACACACACACACACACACACATACACATACACATACACATACACACACACACACACACACACACACACACACACACACACACACTCCAGCTCAGCTACTTTGACAGTATGTTCTTTAATCTGTCAGGAGCTTCCTGCTCTAGAACAAGAGAAGAGTCAAATGTCTGAAGAAGACTGCTAAATCTGTCAGCAGGAGGGAGGGGCCGGGGTGGAGGGCCACACCACACACATCAGAGAGGATCAGTTATATGTACAGCATCAAAAATATATTTAAAAGACATGTTTTTTATTTTAACCTGATTATAACTACTGCTGTAATGTAACGATCGTGTTTGTTGGTTTGAATTAAGATCTAAGTCATTGTGCAGGCACAATGTTATCATAACTGATCAGAAGGCTGAGTGGCAGCGTTTAAGGGTACACGTTCATAATGGACTCCTATTCCTTACCTCACGATTCAAATCTAATGTCCATATTCAGTAAGCACAGGGGTCATGTGTGATGATGTAGTGAGACGGAGAGTATGTCTGAGTGGAGCGCGTTCTTACTTCCTAATAAGATGGTTGGAGTTCCCAAAGCTCAACAAAAATACATTTTAATAATGTGACTCCTGCTACTGTGCATTTCACCTTATTATGGTCCATGAGATTGCAACTACAACTTATAATAAAATATAAAACAATTATTTAGAGGAAAGACTACTCAGTGGCAGAATCATGTGATTCTCTTGGAGCTATTACACTGTTCACAGTGTTCTCCAAAGAAGGGGTTTTGAAAGCTGGGCCCATGTGTTTCAGCATTGTTTCATCTCTGATAACATAGACTTGAACAAACTGGTCTCTTACTAAGTGATATATCTATCAGAGTTGAAAACACATGTCACACTGCTGCTGCTTGTTAGTGTGAATTAGCAGGACTCACTCTGGCCGTACTGTGTGTACTGGTAGCCGGCAGCAGCCACAGCGGGGTCCATGTAGCTGGTAGTGCTATATGTGGGGGGGCAGTAGGACTGGGATGACGAAAGGCTGTCCACTGTCTTCATGGAGCTCTCAGCTGAGCGCTGGCTGCAGCTGGCTGAGAGGGCGTTGGAAGGAGAGGAGTCCAAGGCACTGTGGAGCGGCGAGATGGAGAAGTCGTGTTGTTGCTGAGAGGAAACAGCACTGGGGTTACCCAGCATGCTCATCACCTGAAACACAGGAGGAGAACACTCACACTTCAGTACACTGCTCAGATCACCATTAAAGCCAAACAATGATTAAACTCTCTGTGAGGAACCTTACGAGGGGCTGTTCTAACTGCATTCATTAATGATATTTCACCTGGATATTACTTACTTACGTTGAGTGTACGTGTGTGTGTTTGTGTTAAAAAAAAGTATGCCAATATTCCTATCACACTTTGCACAGCAGAATATGAATTACATTTAAAGTACATAAAGGCCTAAGTTCTCCTAAACCTTGATGTTCTCATTGAATGCAGCAGTATAACAAAACAATGGACAGGTCATACACTTCATTGACAGCCTCCGAGGAAAGGAGATCTCATTTAGTGAAATGCTTCATTCTGATTGACCTCACAGTGGCAGGTTGATGTTAGGGTGTGGGCGGATACAGCGACTGGGATAAAGGCAGATGCTTGAAATGTCCCACTATCACTATCTTCCATGCAAGCTAAAGTCAGAAGTCCAGCACACTGAGCCCGTCAGATTGAAATGCACATTATCTGATGCAATCAGAAGTTCATGTGCTATCAGCTTAACACCCAACTCCCACATCAGTGATGGAAAAAGGACTCCATGTCATAAAGAACAAAAATATACACACCGACAGAGATGTAACAATAAATAAGTTCCTTCAAACCCTGTTTGAGCTGATAGACAAATATTATACACACTACCTGAAGAAATCAAATGAACACACAGATGACAGGGACCTTGGTGTGTGTCTGTGGTGTCATTAGCCGTTAATACTACCATGAAGTTTGGACGGTTTATTCGGTCTTTGAATGTTTAGTAGGCACCAGTACAGCCTTGGGTTGTTCATGGAACTAAAAGTTCATAAAATACATTTCATTTGAACATTATTCCTGCAAGTAATAGAAAAGGATGCAAGGACATTGAAATGGTGTAGTTGACCATATTACATTCTTATTTAAGGTCCAAGGACTTTAAGGAATGATCTTTATTCATCATTGCTGCCTTACTGTATGTTGGCGACAAGGCGTTTTATACAGGTGTGTTGGATCATATGTTAGTGGACATTTTCCAGTTTTCTGACCTATACTTGGTTTGATTTGCTAATAATCCAAACTCCACCCTTCCGCTATATTTACCTAATGTCCGGATACATTCAGAATAATGTACATTTTTGTGCATGTACATACTTAGATTGTTTTGACAGTCTACAGTGACTTTGGGACAGCTGGTGATTCTGGTGGAGAGTATTTCTATATGTTATTCTCTGCTCAGGTAACCATAACTCTAATATATCTTAATAATTATCCTTTTAGTTTTTTTCTATATTAATGCATTTACAGATCCAACCACAGCTGAAAAATGTTTCAGTACCTCCCCATACACACTTTTTTTGATCAGTGTGTGCATCATTGCGTCCACAGACGAGCTTTCCCTGTGAAACAGTGTGCAGCTCCTATTCCTCCCGGGGCTCGCACCGAGACTATTAACACCCCCCCTCTAACAACACCACCCACTGCGCCATCTTCACTGCTATTCCAAATGAACCTTTAATGATTTGAGGCGAACAGGTTGGGGTCGGGTCAGAGGATGAAGCTCACGCAGCGGGAGGTTTGCCTTTTGAGGGATGTCAGGTCAAAGTGCTGCTGACAGGGTTAATATCTGCTGCTCCATCCCATAATGACATGTAAATAAACAGAGATGGATCCCAGCAGGAGACGGACGGGCCGACAGCTGGGACCTGAATGCATCAGACAGGCACACAGATGTTTAGGACGGAATATTTAATGATGTCATATCTTTACCTCGCAGTAGCATTGTATAATAAAGAAGAAATATTTTCTTTATAAAATATTTATATAAATATTTGTTTTCTCTTATTGGCACATGGCCAAATTAGGTGAAATGCTCAGGTGGCAGTAGCCTTACAGAGATGGCGTTAATTATAATGTGGTTGGCCCTTGCCCCTTGGTTCGGGGCAGGTGTTTGTGCTTTCAGTTATTGCACATCAAAAGAGATTTGAATATTTTGTTCTCCCTTCTGTTTTATCTTCAAAGTATGTTTCCTGATGGTTTAATGACCTCTTGCTCCTTGACAGTGACGTGCGGTGGAAGAGAAATCATAATGGTTAGGCTTCTGTTGTTCTGGCCGAATAAACAGATTCACATTTCCACTTGTACTTTGCTCTCTTCTTATAGACTGATAATGGCAACATCTAAACAACCATTACCTTTATTATTTATCAGTCTGAAAAAAAGTAAAAATAATTCTGTGTGGGAGAGCTTTGTCTCTTTTTCTTTTTCAAGACAGGAGCATTAATAGCTTTACTATTCTCTATTCAATGATTCCTAAAATTGAACGTGTCTCAGGTCCAAGGTCCAAACTGCACCACGTGGGTTATCAGAGATACACCCAGAGTGACAACAGTCCTCCAGATTGAACATGTTCTATTGGGCTAATAAACCTCAAAGTGTACAATTCTTTGTGCATGCTATTTTCAGAACATTTTAAATAAAGGATTCTAATGCAAAGTGGTGGGGACGTGTCCCCAGTATAAATGACGCCTGTAAGGCCCTAGCCAGCATGTTGATGTTTTTGTTATTGTTCCTGTTTTCATTTTTGTTTCTCTCATTTCAGTTTCAGCTTTCCTGCCCCTGATTGAACTCCACCTGCTTCCCATCCCTAATTAGCCTCACCTGTTTCCCATTATCATCTCTCCCTCTGTCTACAGTCTGCATCCACATTCCCTTCAGTGCCAGTTGGTCTTTGTTATTCCAAGCGTTCCAGCAGTGTTTATTCCTAGTATCTGATTCCACGTGTACCCGACCCAGCTTCGTGTCCTGACCCGGTCCCTGCCTACTCCTCGTCTGTTTGGTACCCTTACTGACTGATCTCCCGTGTACCGAACCTTGGCTATAAAGACCCTTTTTGCATCCTAAGCCTCTGTCTCTGAGTCGTGCTATTGAGTCCTCTACTTGTGTTCATTCAGTCGTTACAACGCCTGCATCAATGGTTTACACAGCACACTAAACTAGAGATATGAAGGTGTCTGAAGTAATGGTCACCTTCAGGCCTTCATGTGGTCAGGGTGCAAGTGTTCAAAAGTGATCACATGACTAAAACAGACGATGAGTTTCAGGTGGAGTGCTGCAGTCAGTCAGCTCCTACATTCTCTCCAAAGCACAGGAAGCAGCGGGGCTTAGCTCTCTCTACCCACTCAGTCCTCAGACAGCACCCTGGGCTCTGCTCAGTCCCACTGTGGGAGGAGGAGAACACTCTGAGTGATAAATAAATAAGTACAAATATATCCTACAAACATTCCATCACTGGTATGATTTAAATTCCTCATCTTTCTGGCAGCTTTCTTGAGTAGTTCTTGTCTTTATTTATTTATTTGCTTAAAAGCTCCTTCCTTTGCTTCTTGCCAAACTGAATCTGTTTTTTAGGCGATTTCTAATGAACATCTACCCTCCTGCCCCCACTCTATCCCTCGTTATAGGAATGATGTAAATATATGTGCTCATCCTTTTTGATTTGTTGACATGAGAGCGTGCCAGTTGACAGCGTGCCCAGTCAAAGGGCTTAGCACGGCTCATTTTAATAGCAGCTGAGACTGATATTAGGCACCACACTCATTGACATTCAGGTGCAAACAGCCGTGTCAACACACTAAGAACTGGGGGGCTGCAGGAGGACGGGCATCAGAATGGGGGTGCTACTATTTGTATCTTATTTAAGGGAGGGGCCTCTCTGCTCAGCCTCTTGAATATAATTCAACACGATTCCTTGTTGTGAATTTAAATGGCAGTATATGTGATAGCGATGCAGTGTAAGGAGAGTGGGCAGGAGGGGGGGGGGGGGAGCTGGTAGAAGAGGCCCCCCACATCCCCCCAACCCACCTCCTTATCTTAGGCCGACAGTTGTCAGGATTCACGGGCAGAGGCCTGAGTTAGCGCGGCAGCGAGGCAGGCCTGGGGATATGGATCAAAGAGACAGAGCTGGAGAACCAAAGCAGCTCTGATCCCCCCACACTGAAACCCACTCACCCACTCTCCCCTCTCTGTCTCTCTCACCCCAACATCAAATAGCATCCAGAGCGCTGCACCAGCCACCATTCCAAAGCAGCTAAATCTTCCTCTCACAACAAACCGGGGAGGAAATGAGAATGCGAGAGGAGAATGTGTTCTTCTTCACTCGTGTGATGTGTTGATCTGTTGGGGTCACTGGGGGAAGTAATAGTTTCATCTTCAGTGGCAAGTCACTAAGTTGTCTGACCTGACAAAAACGGATTAGTGGGCCAGCATTACTGACTGTCTGACTGAAGAAATAAAACTCCTAACCACTTAAAGGGCTCTCAGGCTACATTTATGGGAATCTGTCAAAAAGTGTGGTTTATTTTTGCAGGCTTTCTTAGGGGGAGGGGGTTTGTTCAGCTCTGATGGTGAAGCTGTGAAATGGTTTCTATTTACACATGCAGTGCAACCAGAGGGATGGAATTCTATACTGTCTTTTTGTCTTTCAATCAATAAGACGTGGAATTGGCTGCACACTCCATCTCCACATGAAAGTCAGCCTCTAATTCTGTCGCCTTGAATGTGACAGGAGGAGGCACAGAAATGGCGTGTGTGAATTACATTCGAAATGCAATATAGCTGTTTCAAATTGAATTATTGCCAGTCAGACGTACAGCATACGGTCTATCTGTAATTTTGAAGTATCTTAGGAACGCAGCCTCCATTGTTATCTCATGTAAATGCCTGGGAGCGTGAAGAAAGGGTCAATGGCAGAATGGAAATGCTTCAGCTGAGACTCAGAGCCATTGAGTATAGACTGAGAGCACTGTAAGCACACGCAGCAGCTTCACTGCATTCCTATTGGAAGGGATTCTCTCTACAGCCAACTCCTATGTTGGTACTCTGTGGATGGTTAAAGCTATAACATGCAACATTTTCCTAAGAAACAATGAATGAGTGATACAAAAATCATCATGCATGACCCACTAGAGGTGTGTGGCCCCTGCAGCTTTAAAGGGCCCCCACATGGCAGTATGTGTGTGTGTGCAGCCAGGTTGTCAAATAACAACCCCTGTATCGCTTTAGGTGTGTTTATTCTTGATTTAGAAACGTAACCACCATGACATGATCAGATAATCATTTAATATGAAGGATAATAATAAATGGTTTAATCCTCTGATTCCCTGCTTTGCTAAAATGATGTGTTTTCTTTTATACAAATAACAGAAAATGAGAAACTGCAAATTCCGTTATACATATAATGTATAGTAACATATTGTGAGGAGGTTGTCTGTTCATTTAGGTGTTGCATATAGCTTTATTTCAATTTCTTCAAATCAGATTTTTCCTTGAAATTAACCCTTTTAAGAGCTTTAATGTTATAAACAGCATAGTTCCACACTGTTAGAGGATACACCTCCTCATTTACATCTGCCTTATATCATGTTAGCTAGTATATATAAAGCATGCACTGAAATATTTGAACATTTGCTTTATGACGGAACCATTTCATCTCGCATCATTTACCTGACATCATAGCGTATTGCATATATTTAGTTTGGGGGGAGGTCTTTCGCTCCAACCAACCAGTAAATCCACGTACACAAACCTGTACAGTTGCATCGAGAATATCCACGCTTTGACGGTCATTTTACTGCCAACAATGTGGTTGTGGCTCTGGCCAATCAAAATGATTGACTGTGCATGAGTTTGCTGCATTAACATATTTTGTTATCAGTTATGCAATATTTTGTATTTTATGTAGGAATCCATCATTTCCGTTGACATTGCATTGCATGTTCCATGGAATGTATTTGTTGTATTTCAGAAGAATATGGTGTTGTATTAGATTCTTCCTGAGGATGTTGTTGCTCAGGGTGTTCTGCGCTGCAGTGTGTGTGACAGTCAGAGATGGATATGAATCACTGGTCTTTTTCTGCCAGGGAGAACAATCCCTCCTGCATACAAAGTCTCATTTGGAATGGTTATTGTTCCAGAGACCAAGATGGGATAACACGGGAATCTTTCCCTCCTTCATTTGGGTTTGGACACACAAACACAGTGTTACAGATTTACTGCTGCCAACTCTTTGTGAATGAGTCAGGCTGTGTTAGCATCCAGCAATGATGATTTAAAGTGAAGACTCATGGCAGTCAGACATCATCAGTGCAGGAGAACAACTCTATTGGAAGACAAGAGAATCATTTCAAATGATCCTGTAAAGCCCTGCATTGCACTCAGAGTGTGTGTGTGTGTGTGTGTGTGTGTGTGTGTGTGTGTGTGTGTGTGTGTGTGTGTGTGTGTGTGTGTGTGTGTGTGTGTGTGTGTGTGTGTGTGTGTGTGTGTGTGTGTGTGTGTGTGTGTGTGTGTGTGTGTGTGTGTGTGTGTGTGTGTGTGTGTGTGTGTGTGTGTGTGTGTGTGTGTGTGTGTGTGTGTGTGTGTGTGTGTGTGTGTGTGTGTGTGTGTGTGTGTTCATCCAAAACACATTTTGTTCTGTCTTCTTTTACTATAAATTTAATTTCCTTTTTTTCCATACACACTGCCTTCGCTCATTATGTCAGGGTTTAGAATGTGTGTGTGGAGAGGTGTGTTAGTTGAAGGGAAATGGTGCTTATGTTTCTTTTATGCCTGCAATAGTACTTCCTCTCCCTTCAACAAACAATACAAAAAAATGTATCACAAAAAAACAACAACAGTCATCTTCCCAAAGTGGTAATGGCCCAACCAGAACATCTCCCCATCCTCCGGAAGACACCACAGCAAGGGTTTACACTATAGAAACACTAAACTGTTCCAGTGAATACCAATGAAAATGAAACAACCATGATTAACAGAAAGTCAGTTGCAATCGTGTTGTTCAAATAACTCTTTGCCACCCAGTATATTTGGTCCAGTGAAACTCAAACTAATTTGAGTAAAACGATCCGGTTCACCAAGTGTCTAACAAAACTCATTATCACCCGACCAAAGGTCACACACACAAACAGAAGAACAACAAGATATTGTATTTGAATATCAGCCACAATTCATTAGAGCAGTCCGCATTGACAGCAACATCTGTTAATTATACAGAAAGGCAGTCGCTGTATTCAATTAATGATCTCAGTCAATTAGATTATGTCTCTCCAAATGAACATCTTTGTGATGGGAGTTCAACCCAGAGTCCATGAGGGGCCATGGAGATGAACTATGTAGTTAATTGCACAGACTGAGCCACAGAATGGGGAATACAATGATTAGTTAAATTCTATTGTACTAATTCCCCCATTAGCATGGGGGGTGCAGTTCATTCAGCACTTACTGACTTAAAGTCAGTAAGATCTTTTTAATTTAAAAACAATGAAATCTGATCTGTTCTCTACAACTAAATCAACTTATAGCATTTAAATAAAAATACTCTTATTCTAGTCATACATACTCAGACAAACAGAGACAGTAAATCAACTGACAAGAGGACCAATCAAAGTGAGGCAGGTGCTGTTAATGTGGGGGTAGAGCAGGAGGACAGCATCACAGATTAAACATGTGCTGTGCTGCTGTGACTCAAAGGCCAATTCAGCAACTCCTGTAGTGACTTCGGGAAACAAAGGCGCATAGAGTATCGGTCTCTTCTTTAATTAATAAAGTGACATCATGTCTTGCACTGTAATTAGTTGACAGGTTTTGAAGATGCCTTTAATACGTAACGATTAGCCCAGGTCATCGTGAGGATCAGCATTGGGCATTGATTACCAAAGGTTCTAATGGTATCTAAGACTTCAAATAGTGGAGAAGCTTAATCTGTAATACTTTACTTGAGTACATGTACTCAGTGCCGTTTTTGCTGTAAAAGATATGTCATTATTAACTACTGATAACTGAGGGATAGCAAACTTTATTAAAGTTCCAGAAACTACCATCTGTCTGGGAATCATGCTGTTCAAACTGTGGCCTAAACAAAGACTTAAGGCTCTGGGAGGTACCAGATGCAACATCAAAATGACTTCCTCTCTAGCCTGATCTCTCGCTAAGACTAAGCTAAGTCATCCAACAGCAGTCTCTACACTACAAACATTAATATGATTTGGATCAGAGTATCCAACTCCCAGCAAGACAGCAAACAGGCCGACCCACCAAACTGTCTGCGTAACTACACAATACTTCCAATACAGTAATGTGATACAAATAATAATAATAATAACTTCAAGGACGCTTTACAATAGGACGTTTGTACAAATCCACACTGGTCACGGTCACTGTTTAGTTCTTTATGCAATTGACCTAATCCACCAGGTAAATGTTACGTATCCACATGCGGTGCAGCAGGTCTTACCTGTGGGGAGAGTCCGTTGCTGCCAGGGTTGACGTGGTTGCTGGGAGCAGAGCTCATGAAGGAGTCAGAGTAGGTGGAGAAGCCGTGGCGGTTGGAGGCCAGGCCGTAGACCGAGCCGCTGTCAGGGCTGGCCAGACCGCCCTGGTGCATGGTGGACGGAGGCAACGGCTGTGGGCGGTGGACTGTACCATTAACGTCTGAATAAAAAAATATAAATGAACATTGGCGGTAGTAAGAATTTAAAAAAAAAATGTTGTTACTGCTGTTCAATTATACAAGCATGACTATGTACTTGACATATGCTTTTTTTTCTACTACAGAGATCAGAGAATATACATTTTTTATTTATTAAAAACAAATGTGGGCCTTTTGCTTTAAGTGACTCTGATATCCAAAAAACTAGAATACCTGGTTTTGATAACTCCATATCTCTCTGTCATTAACGTACACCAGCAGTGTATGAAATATTCAGCTAGCAGCTGATTTTTCTAGTTAAAATGAGAAATGCCTCTGGTGTCAGGTCCCATCAGCTGTCACCAATGGATCATGTTAGTTCAGTTGTGTGAGAGAAGCTCCTCTCGGTTACACTTTGTACAATCATAAGTGGACCCACGTTTCAAAAATGAAGAATAAGAAAACACCTGTCAGGTTATGGAGCCAAATGTTAGTGTCATCACAATACCAAACACACCTGATTTGGAGGTTTTGATATAATATATATATATGTATGCTAAACAGTGGGAAAGCTGTTGTGCAGGCACTGGTGGAGCAACACGTCACAGTGCCTGTTAGATTCTACTATCATGTATCATCTACATGCACTGTGAGATCCTCTACCTTGGGACAGAGTGTTGGTTGGATAGCCGGACTCTGGCAGCTGGTACGTTGGAAGTGTTGGCATCCCTGTGGGAGGAAATCCACCCGGCAACAGGTGGTTGAAAGCTGCTAGCTGATTGGCTCCTGCTTGTTTTCGCCACCTGGCCCTTCGATTGCTGAACCAAACCTGTGGGAAAATCAGAACAGGAAATAAAGTTTAATAATTCATAACATTTCTCAGAGATGTTTGATATTAATACATTAAAAAGAAACTTAGCTTATGTTTTGTCACATGCTATGTTAATTATCACAGTGGAAAAGGCTACTGGAACATATTTGTTTTGTGTATAAGAAATGTTGACTTCCTGAACAACCTGATGCAACTACATTTAAATTAGATTAAGTATTTTCAGATTGAATACCCCAGAAGAGCTCAAATAAGGAATTTAGAAAAATAATCACTTCCTTACATAATCACTTGTTGCTGTTTTGAGTTTAAATCAAGTTTAATTCCATCTACTAGATTTAATTTTACAAAAGCACACAATAAATCATAGCAGGTTTCATGATGTTGAGCTGTTGCAGGCAAAGTAAGAATTCCAATCATGTCACTTGATATTCTAGTAGACCAGCCTTCAAGGTAAATGCTGAGAGTCGTGTTTGCTTAATGTAGTGAGTTAGTGGGTGATGTGGTGAATGTGGAAGTGTGTAGTGTGAGTGACATTCAGGCAGGGACAATTTATTATTATTTATGTATGACATAATTTGAACTGAAAAAATATACCTAATTTAAATAGTTTCTTTGTTGGCAAACATGAAGCATAATTCAATTCAAGGTTCAAGGCTTTTATTGTCATTCGTACATTGCTACAGTAGTTATGTCGATGAAAATCTTAGGTCCCAGGCTCCTCCAACAGTGCAACACAATAACATAGATAAAATAGTGCAAGTAAATACAATCAAATAGAAGTAGTGACATAAGAGTCTATATACAAGTGATACATCATTTGTAAGTTACAAAGAGATGAATGTTATGGATGTTCTTAGTTCAGGTGTTTAACAGTCTTCTGGCCTGTGGGATGAAACTGTCCCTGAGTCTGGTGGTTTTAGTCCTGATGCTGCGGTGGAGTAATGGAGTAGTCTGTTTACTGACGGAATAAGTGTGAAAACATTCAACTCAAACGCACAGAGTCTTCAAACGAAAAAGCAAACCACTGACGTGATGCAAACTCAAAGCCGGGCAGCAGTTGAAGGAACCACATCAGGAAGATTGTGAAATCACAAAGCAGTGTGTATTGCCAAAAGCTAAAGCGTTTTCATTTCGCAGGGCACTAATTTCCAAGTTCTTAATTAAAGCCAACAAAAAGTCAAAGCTCAGGGCAGGTTTCAGCCTGTCGCCACGCAGAAAACACACTCACAGAAATGTCTCCTCCTCACACACACTCTGACAGAACACACAGGTCACCTCAGTTTTATCATTTACATCGTTTTATAATTCACATGATATTACACACACACACACACACACACACACACACACACACACACACACACACACCACACCACACACACACACACACACACACACACACACACACACACACACACACACCACACACACACACACACACACACACACACACACACACACCACACACACACACACACACACACACACACACACACACACACAGTACTGCCTGCAGCTCCCCACCCGCCCATTTTCTCCAGGAATCCTCCTTTTTCATTTAAAGCAAATGGAAACATGCCTTTCAAGTGGAGAAGATCATTTGGAATCCTATTTCTGTAGAGGAGCCTCAAATAATTATAACAGGTGTTGTCGCCCTGAGGTTTACTGAGAAGCTGGAGAAGTCGAGTCTGATCTCCCCCTAAAGAAAAACTTTACTCCTCATTTATTCCTTTTGAAATATGAACTGTATAGCGCAGAAACAAAAATGTGTTTGATTGATTTACCAATCAACAGAAATATTTATAATCGATTACTTCTGAATTAATTTATCAAGCAAAAACACACCTCAGTTTGTCCAGTGTCGGGATACTTTTTGTTTGATAGTTTTTGTCCCTGATTAAATCAAAGAACTATTCATATCATACACGGCACTGTCATTTATACTTGACCTTTTCTATTTAAGCTGGTTTTGTTTTTATATTATTCTCTTTGATAATAATGTTCAATTGGGTTTCCGTTTGCATTATATCTTAACAAGAGCAAATATATGTGGCAGAATGAATACACAGTTGCCCACTTGGTCTATTAAAGGTGACTTGTGACTAAATGAGTTAGAAGCATGCAGACAGACAGGCGAGGGCCCGCTGAGTGCTGCAAGGAATGACCATTATGTTTTTCATATGCTGTGACCTTCACAGTCATGAGACTTCAACTAATGTAAGATTTTTGAACTCATGGTTGGCAGTGCCTTCATCCACCATAATCAAAACATCAAAATGAAAAATGACATGTAATAAAGCTGACGCTTTTGTCGAAACAAAGTATGTTCACTTCAATACTGAAGTCATCGGGAGCAGTTAAGAGTCGAGTGTATTGCCCAACATCACTTCGCCATGTTGACTGCAGGGACCGGGGATCAAACCAGAAGATGCCCATTTCCCCTCTGCACCACAGAGACCCCATCATATTCATCACCAGTGTTGGGCAAGTTACTTCCAAAATGTAATACAGTACATATGACTTATTACTGTCTTTTTTAAGTAATAAGTTACATTACAATATTACTGTCTCTGAAATGTAATGAGTTACACTACTTTTATATTACTTTTGAGTTACTTTACCAAAATAAACCCAAAGGAATGGCTAGGTATTTTAAATGCTAAAATGTAGTTTAGTGCAGCTCATTATACATCCAGTGAAGGGCAATGTGGTATAGCATAACAACTGTGTAGGCCATTAAGGCTACTAACAACTTTTATTACACGGCTTAGTTGAATACTTGATTCTGATTGTAAATTCTTAACATGTGACACGTTGTTAATACAGTAGTACAGACCACTGTCAAGGACTGTAATGAAGGTTGCTAAGGAGGATCAAGAAAGAGAAAGGAAAAGAGGTTAAAAGACGGAGCACTGGACGTCAGATAAATCACCAGAAGAAGGCAGAGAGGAAGTAAACAATAACAGGAACACGGAATGGGCTCTGTAGTTTGTTTAGAATATGACCGTGTAATAAACGGGATAATGTGCAGCAAGGCGGTCATTATGGGGAAAAGAACACCCGACAGGCTGATCAGGGAACCCGACGCGAACACCAGGCTTACTAATCTACCCGCACAATTTTTCTCTGGTGTCGGAATGTCTCGCAATGTTGGTCAATTCTTAAAAAACAAAACACCATTTAATTTCAGGTTAACATGAGTTGTAACTGCGTTACTGAGAATTGTAACGGGTAGTATATTACCCAAATGTCATTAGTAATGTGTTACATTACTTTGTTACAGCAAAAAGTAATACATTACTGTAACTCCGTTACTTTTGTAACGCATTACACCCAACACTGTTCATCACCCATAAGTATGTTTTCATTAGTGTAGTATCAGCTGAAACTGAGAATTGTTGCGTTTTCATTAGCTTAGAATGATCCCTTTATCTCTACACAGGATGCTATCCTCTTCATTGGAGACACCATGTTGCACCCCCATGTAGCCCACAACAAACCAACCTAGATCTGGCTCTAAAGAGTCCTTCAGTTTTATGTTACCTGAGGGGTAACACTGGTCACTGCTCAAGGTCTACCTACTCGCTTCCGTTGGAGCTCTCCACTAAAACGTCTCCATCAGCTGATTGAGTTTGTTTTGGTGACATGAAACTTCTGATGTTTGAACAACTGCTTCTATCAATGACAGTTCATTCTTGACAAATGACAAGAGACATGGATAAGGACCATGTGATACGGTAAAAAGCTCCAGACCAAGTGTGAACGTGAACCTTGAGAGAGGATTATTTTTTCAACTGTACATTTACTTCTTTTTATGAAAATGTGTCTAGTGAAAGCAGGATGACCAGTGTCAAGTAGAGGTATATACTGTTGAGGTTTAAAGGTATTAGAACTAGAGTGTGACTGGTCTCCATGCCATACCACTTTCTCAATGTTCAGTTTTCATGGGCCTTGATTGATCCACGTTGCTGTTTGGGATTAAAGCTCCCATGAGTCAGCCCAGACCCTTTAGTGATTTGCTAGGAATTTGTGGGCTTGAAAGTGGTGGGAAATACAGATTCCAGCCAAGATGTCAGGGATTGAGACATTGATGAGGAATGCAGAGGCCAGCCTGCTGCTGGAAAGCTAACAGCTGTTGTTAAAGCTCTGCACTGTGTTCTCTGGCACTACAGGGAGCCGTCAAACTCTCACAGACAAAGACAAGTTCCTTAAGATGTGGACAGCTGGTAGTGTCTAGCATTATACTGCATGTATTTGTGAATGGTGGTTGAACTCAGTGGGTGAATGTAAAATTTGATCTGTTAAGAATCTGAATCATGTGACATATTGTACAACAATAACAATCAAACTTATCACACAGTTCTCAAAACAGATTGAAAAGCACAGAGGATTAACCATGTGGCAGGTTCAGCACCATGCTCCGGGTGTAGTATAACACCTAGTATTGTCCAAATGGACCTGTGGCCCCCCACAGAGTGAGACAATAGGCGCTTTCACACCAAGTACTTTTCCCAGGAATAGTTCCCGGAACTTTTCTCCGGAACTTTTATTTCCTGGAACTATCTAGTAAATCGCGTTCACACCGGAATAAGTCCCTGAGGGAGCCGCTGACGTCACTTCTTCTTCTTTTTCTGCTTTGGGTTTACTGGCAGGCCGCAAACAACTTCACGGCGTATACTGCCACCCGAAGTCCCCGGAGTTGGGGACTGGCTTCAGTAGAAGCTGCTGGGAGTCCCAGCAGCTTCTACTGAAGCCTTCCGAGTAAATCGCCAGAAGCGCGGACACCTCCTCATCTCCACCGCTCCCATGTTTTCTTTTGTGTTGCCATAAATTAGTCTCTCTCCATTGGTGCGCTGGGCTAATGCTAATGCTAATAATGCTAATGCTGTAGTGATCACTGATTGACATAACTCCTATCTCTCGGCACTACAATGCGAGCAAATAAAATGGCGGCTTCACAAAAACTTTTCAGAGTTTTACGGGGCATGGTTTGCAATTTGCCCAGCCAATCAGAAATTGGAACCTTTTTCTCCCCAGGAAAGTCCCTGCTCGCTAGCAGGGACTAAAAAAGGGTGAAAAGGTTCGCAAAAAAAAGTTCTAGTTCCAGATCTTTTTGGTGTGAACGCAAAATCCCAGGAACTATCGGAACTATTCCTGGGAAAAGTACTCCTGTGTGAAAGCGCCTAATGAAATCTGACCCAGAGCAGTATCTGTCTCTGAGTGTCTCAAGAAAATAACTGCTGTTAAATCTAGTGAAGAGATGTTTGCTTTGAGCACAATAACTATCGATATTCGGCCCGTGCGCGCGAGGGGGGGGGGGGGGCGTAGTAATCGGCAGCGAACCGCTTCAACACGTGTATTTCGGTTTATTCACGGCATTCATTTAGTTATTCTACAGTATTGTTGTTTTATAGTTATTTGTTAATGTAAATGACCCAATTTGTGTTCTTTGAAATTGAAAAGGATATTGCATTGTGTTTGTTACTTTCGTTGCAGTTGTATATGTCTTAAGTGTAATTTGGCTTGGCTTCCTATTTTTTATGGACATGCTTTTATTTTGAAAGAGAGTTAGCGCTGTTGACAGGAAGTTGTTGTTGCTATGGAAACAACGTGACGGAGATTAACGGAGAAAAGTCATATCTACATATAAAGACGGAGAAAGTAAACGATAACGTTTATGGTAAAGTGTTAGTACCCCCCGAAGAGGCACAAGCTCTTACGTTGATATTGGAGATTTCAATAAATTCAATCAAAAACGAAAAAAACAACAAAAAAACGAATATCCGAATAACGACATTGAAACCCGAATAGTACTCCAACGAACGAATATTCGGATATTCGGGTACAGCCCTAGTGGGTGGGTGGGCGGAATTGTTCCTACCTGGACCCGGGCCTCGGTGAGCTTGGTCCTCTGGGCCAGCTCCTCCCTGGTGTAGATGTCGGGGTAGTGGGTTCTCTCGAAAGCCTTCTCCAGCTCCTCCAGCTGCTCCGCTGTGAAGGTGGTCCGACTCCTGCGCTGCTTCCTCTTCAGAGGGAGGTCCGGCTCCGACTCCACATCGGACACCTCATCCATCCGACTGCCTGGACACACACATGGAGGAGACACACATTAGTTCCGTGTTCGGCAGGTAGAAGTGATGCTTACTATATTCTCCTGCTTTCAACTCGCATATAAAAACGTCAAAATACTCCATAAAGACAATGAGCTTCAACGCTGGGAATCTACTGATTCCAGTATCATTGCACATCACTGATCGTCTGTTTGTGGATCTTTGAATTGAAAGCAATGCAGTTATTTTAGATGGTTAGTAAACACAAACTTTTCTGAGAGTGGAATATACGTACATGACCTGTATTTTATTTATATGGTCAGTTCTTTTAGATAAGGACCCAAATATCTTTGGAAATCGTTTTTTTCGAGACACAAATGGCTTCTAACCTTCTGGTACATTTATTTTGTTGTCTCTGCAAAAACAACAACTAGGCTTACAATGAGACATTTCATGGGACATTTTAATTCACATTTGAAAAATGATAATAGGTGATATATTAATTAAACTTTACACCTAAACAGACAGCTATATAGTACCTGACCAGGAGCCATGTTTGTTCTGAGAGCTGTTTAATGTAACTTCAAAATATCTGATTCATATCCGCAGTTCCTTTTGGTTTTATTGCCTATCAATAACAAACTCAGAGGCAGTGATGAAGACTTTCTCAGTAGGCATGTTCACATCTTCCTCCAGAGACAGAGCGAGGCAGGAGGAACAACTGATTCTTCAAACAGCCCAGCCTGCAGTGAATCCTCTGTGTGGTTATTTATATGACAAAACAATTTTCTGTGCTTGCTAAGTACCATTCTATATCAAAACCTGCATATCCCAGCATCCCTCAGGGCACAGTGCTGAGAGTAAAAGTGGAATGAAGGGTGCTAATCTCTGCAGACCACCTTGATTTTGTATGTAGCACCATTCTTCATGTTGAGCCTCAGGGCAGCCCAGACAAACACACTGGCAGGATGAAAATAGTCCCAAAATATTTATTGTGCAGCCCATTTCACTCACACACAATGTGTCCAGGCTGCTGTTCAGGAGGATCCATGGAAGATTATCTGATGAATGTACATATCTATTTCAAATGGAGCTACCCAGCTAGCAGGGAACGTTCTCACAACTTTGGCTAACGTTACCTACAGGTTCTAATAATGTTTTAAAGAAACGTTTTAGTCTGATGTTCAAAGAACCTTTTTAGGATGTTTATTATTTCAAATAATGTTCCTATAAGGTTTAAGGTTAACTAAGACATAATGTTTTAACTGCAACATTCAGAGGATGTTTTGAGGATGTTATTGAGGCCTGAGATGACAGAACGTTTTTTATAAAACGTTCCTTTAATGTGATATGCTAACAAAGGTGGAACGTTTTGCCTGCAACATTCTGAGGATGTTTTTTGGACGTTGTTGGGGTAACATATTATAGATGTTCTTTTATAAAACATTCCCTCAATGTTACATGATAACAAAAGAAGAACATTTTCAAAGCAACATTCGGATAATGTTTTCAGGAGGTTATTCTTTTTTTATAAAACGTTCCTGTGATGGCAAATATTAACACGGTCATGGTCAACGTCAGATTTATTTCTAGAGCGCTTTAAAAAACAAACTTGTTGCATCTGTTTGAAAAGGATGTTTTAAAAAAATCTGATCACCATATTTTCCTTTTGAAAAAAACAGACAAGCACGTAATTCATGATAAGCTGTAAGCAGATATCGCATGTTTGCGGTGGCATGTGTGAGTTCCCAGCTAGACATTTTTGGTTCTAAAAACATTCTGAGAATGTTACCATTCACTGTTATATATCACACAGGCTCCGCCCTCTACTGGACTCTATGGGTACTACTCTCTATCATACTGTACGTGCATTCACCTACTGAGTTACGTAAACGTAGCCAGCCAATCGGGGCGAGCCTACCTGAATGCGCGCGCAGGCCCACAGTATATAAGGTGGCTACGCCCTCCGACCGTCATCCTACACCAGGGGTATTCAACTAAAATTCAACGAGGTCCAGTTAGAGAAAATCTCCCCATGCAAAGGTCCGGAACATCAAAATGTCTAACTTGCTTTATGAATTAGTGTGATATATATTGAAGTAGCCTGTAACTTTATCAACGTCTGCATGTACAGTAATCAACAACTGACTGCCAATCAAATAAAGAAAGTACAATTCAAAAACAACAATATTTATTGTCAATTAACATTGAACTATACAGATATACAGTGAATACTGTGGATGTGTGTAATGTTCCTCTCGGGCTGCATTTAAAAATAAAATAGAGAAAATAAATAAAATAGCTTTTGAAAATATGTGCATCTTAAAAGTGCTTAATTTTAGATAAATAAAATAAAGTGTAGCAGCAGCTTGAGTTTCCCTTTTTCTTTGTTAACCGTTTCACATCATGACTATGACTTAACAGTTTCAGACGATTATAGAACAATATCAGTCTTTACACATCATAACAATTGAACAGTTTTAAAGTTTCTCTTTCTTTCCCTCTTATATTGCACTCACTTTTTTTTAATTCAGTGCGAGAAATGAGCTTGAGCTTGTCCTGCCAGGAGTTTGTAAATCTGGGCTGAAATGGTGTCAGGGCCATTCTCATACACACATGCAGGTGCTCATTGGTTAGCCTCGGTTAGCCTGCCCTGGAACGATATTTCATTTTAATTTTGATTCTGGTTGACTGATCATATTGGGCTCTGAGACTGCTTATTTTTTGTGACCTCAGTTCTGACTTGAGAGGGAATGTTTGGTCAAACACTTTGTGTTTGGTCTCATAGTGGCGTTTTGGCACTTTTAATGAGTGCCACGGTCTCTGAACAAATGAGACACACTGGTTATGTGCTCCCAGTGGGCAGGATGAACATGAATGAGTCCGTCCACTCAGGGTTAAAAGCTCTGTTTTCACTGTCCACTTTCCTCTTCTTGGAGAGCGCCATGTGTAACTAGAGAATGCAATTCCTGAAGAAATTGCTAGTGGGAATGCTTTATGCTGAAAATCTGACGCTAAACTGCTATGCTGAAATGTAATGTGTAAGAAGAAAGTGAAGAATTTAGATTGAAATGATACATGAACACTGGGAGCTTGAATGTGTGATCAGAGAAGAAAATAAAGTAAAAAGGCTTGGAAAAGCAGCAGAATATTTGAACTGCAAACTTTTGAACTAACTTGATGGTGAATGATCTGTTGCCATGCCAACGGCATTTGATGACATCCCATAATACGCTTAGATGTGTGGATGGCTGCATCGTTACCAAACCTGTGAGGTTTTGGGCTGTTTGGAGCATTTTCACTGAAGTTATGAGAAAACCGTGTTTCATGGCGAGCCTTGTGTTACCATGGCAACGCCATTTGAAGAAACCCCATAATTGACGTAGAGCTGTTGAGGGCTGTACCGGTGATATACAAGCGAAGTTTGGAGGACAATCGGACCGTGTCCATTGGACTTACAGCGACATCGTGCTTCATGGCAACGGCATTTGATGACACCCCATAATACGGTTAGATGCGTTGATGGCTGCATCGTTACCAAACCTGTGAAGTTTTGGGCCGTTTGAAGCATTTTCACTGAAGTTATGAGAAAACCGTGTTCATGGCGAGCATTGTGTTGCCATGGCAACGGCATTTGAAGAAATCTCAAAACTGTCTCGTAGATGTCTTCACGGCTGGACTGTTAGCACACATGTGAATTTTGAGCACTTTTTGAACATTTTCATAGGAGTTAAAGGGACATCGTGTTTTATGGCGAGGGATGCGTTTCCATGGAAACGGCATGATTTCAGATTTAGCGTAGAGCTGTTGAGGCATGGACCGGTGATATACAAGTGAAGATTGGGGGATGATTGGACCGTGTCCATTGGACTTACAGCGACATCGTGTTGAG